TCTCCAGCCCCTTCCCAGCTCCCCCAGCCCCTCTGACACTGCGCCCTTCCAGTCCCACGGGGCTTTTGTGATCTGCCCATTCTAAGCTGGATCATTTTCGAGGTTACTGCTGGGTTAATCCCCTCCCAGCTCTGGGATGGGCAGAGCAGAGCTGTGCGGTGCTGCAGGCTCCTCTTGGCAGAGTAGGATGGGGCTGAGGCAGCTGGGGAAGATTCTCCTTTATCCATTGTCCATTTAACCCTCATTACCCATGAACGCTCTCCAGAAGAGAGGTGGACAATGAGCCACTGAGGAGGGGAAGATCAGCTGGATCTGCTGCAGCTGCTGGGAAGTGAGAGGGGTCCTAATTACCCCTGATAATTAGCTGGAGTTCTGGCTGCTGGGAATTTCAGACTTTCTGTGCTGACAGACTCGGAGCCCCAGGAGAGTTCTGCATGTGGCCTGCGGCCCTGGAGAGGCTTCCAAAATTCATTGAGAGGCCTGGGCAGTCCTGCCATGGGGGAGTCCTGAAGGAAGCTTTGGCACCGGGCTCTCGGACTTGGGGCACAGATCAATCACAACATCTCGTGCCTGAAGAGGGACCCAGACAGAAACCCCTGGGGATTTAATGGAATCACAGAATGAGTTGGGATGATGTGGCTGTGACAACCTCCCCACCCGTGGCTGTGACAACCTCCCCACCCGTGACTGTGACAATCTCCCCACCCGTGGCTGTGACAACCTCCCCACCCGTGGCTGTGACAACCTCCCCACCCATGGCTGTGACAATGTTCCCACCCGTGGCTGTGACAATCTCCCCACCCGTGACTGTGACAATCTCCCCACCCGTGGCTGTGCCATCCTGCCCTCTCCCTCACCCGCACAAAGCAGCCCCGGGGCCGGGCCGGGCTGGGCTGTTCTCCCCCTCCCAGCTGCGCTGCACAGGTCAAAGCCCCCCGCCCTGCTCCGTGCTGGGAGGGGTCTGGGGTCCTGCCCCCGCTCCCTGGGTCCCCCCAGCACCCCTGGAATGGCCCTGTGAAAAATGCACCTTTTATTATTGGCTTTTTGCAAATAGTGCAATGAACATTGTATGTGTAATGTTAGAAAGTTATGCTGTATTGTCTTAAGTAGTGTGTGAAATACAGTTTTAGGTTATAACGCGACGTTAAAATAGAAACTCTGCTATGTAAGATACTTTTTAACTAGCTCAAGAAAGGTATGAGATAACCAAGAAATTCTTTGCACAGAGATAACAGCGACAGGGCACATAAAGATTTACAGCGTCCTTATCAGAACAAACATTCTTCCACCTCCACTCCATCTTTATGGAACCACCAGGATTAAGGGGAAGAAGTTGACAAAACCCAGAAAAAATCTTAATTTGCAAGGAATTTGTGCATCATGCATGAGATATATGAATATGCAACAGGCTGTTGCTTTTAAGGTTATTCCTTTGCTCACGAGGTGTGGTTTTGGCAGCTCAGTGCCCAAAAACATCCGGATGTCCGTAAGTCTTTGCTTTTTATTGTCTTGCAATTGTCCTAGCTCTAAATTTTTATTACTCTGATTGCATTACTATTTTTGTGACCATTTTATTAATATTAAACTTTTAAAATCTCTAGAAACCAGCGGGTGGCGTCTATCACAGGCTGTCCGTGCCGGCCGGGGCTGGCCCGTGTGGGCGGCCCTCGCTCACGCGGGTGATGCCCCTCTCCCCCCGCAGGCAGAGGCACCAGGCTGCGGGTCCAGCTGTCCTTCCGTCCCTCCCAGGCCCTCCAGGAGCCTGCTGGGCGCCGCCGGAGCCTGCCGGAGGCTGCTGCTCCTGTCTGAGCACCCGGAGCCCGCGGTGGGCTCCTGCCCCCCTCCCTGTGCAAAGCCAGGGCACGGAATATTTCTGTCTGCTCGGAATATTTCTGTCTGCTCGGGGCTGTCCTGAGCCCCAGGGCAGCTCTGACTCTGCTCCTCACTCATGGAGAAACTCCCAAAGCCTCAAGGTGAACCAGAAATCACAAAAGTGTGGAATGGATTGCAGAGATTGTAGAGAGTACTGGAGTGTGTCACATGGGTGGGAAATTTAGGGTTTGGGATTTTTAGTGTGCTCTAGATGGGTTCAACATGCAGGGTACAGGGTGTGGTCTCGAGTTCCTTTCTTCTCTCTTCTTCTTCCTCTTTCTTCTTGGGTTTAGGTGCTATCTTGTAATTGGGTGGAAAAATGTGTCCTGTGTCCATCTGTCCCTGTGTGTCTGTGTCCATCTGTCCCTGTGTGTCCATGTGTCCTTGTGTCCATCTGTCCCTGTGTCCATCTGTCCCTGTGTGTCCATGTGTCCCTGTGTCCATCTGTCCCTGTGTGTACATGTGTTCCATGTGTCCATCTGTCGCTGTGTCCATCTGTCCCTGTGTGTCCATGTCCCTGTGTGTCCATGTGTCCCTGTGTCCATCTGTCCATCTGTCCCTGTGTCCGTCTGTCCCTGTGTCCGTCTGTCCCTGTGTGTCCATGTCCCTGTGTCGGTCTGTCTATCTGCCCCTGTGTCCGTCTATCTGTCCCTGTGTCCGTCTATCCCTGTGTGTCCATCTGTCCATCTGTTCCTGTGTCGGTCTGCCTATCTGTCGCTGTGTCCATCTGTCCCTGTGTCCGTCTGTCTGTCGCTGTGTCCGTCTGTCCCCGTGTCCCGTCCCGCCGTGCGCGCGCCCTGCACGGGGGGCGTGGCCGGGGCGGGCCCGCATGGCCACGCCCCCCGAGGGACCGGCGCGGCGGCGGGCGCTGATTGGCTGCGGCGCGAGGGGGCGGGGCCAAAGCGGTGCCGGATCTCGGGGTGGCTCCGTCCCGGTGCCGGTCCCGGTCCCGGTGCCGGTGCCGGTCTCGGTCCCGGTGCCAGTCTCGGTCCCGGTCCCGGTGCCCGTCCCGCTCCGGGCCCGCGGCGCAGCAGCCCGGGATGGCGGCAGAGGCGGGCGGCGCCGCGGGGAAGCGGCGGATCATGTGCGTGGGGCTGGTGTGCCTGGACATCATCAGCGTCGTGGAGGCTTTCCCCGCCGAGGATTCCGACACCAGGTACCGGCAGCGGGGCATCCTGCGGCGCCCCCCAAGCGGCCCCGCGCCCACCGCACCTCTCGGCCCGCAGGTGCCTGTCACAGCGGTGGCAGCGCGGCGGGAACGCCTCCAACTCCTGCACTGTGCTGTCGCTGCTGGGAGCCCCCTGCGCCTTCATGGGCTCGCTGGCCCCCGGCCCCGCCGCTGAGTAAGTGGGGTGCGGGGACTCCGCACCGGCGGGGCACCGGCCCGGCCCGCCCTGACGCCTCACCGGCCCCTCCGCTTTGCTGCCGCCGGCCTTGACCTTCGGCGCGGCCGCGGTTCCCCGGCTGCCCGCCCGCCTCCGCCGTCACCGGCGGCGCCCGCCGCTCCCGCGCGCCCCTCACCCCGCTCTCCGTCCCCCAAAGCTTCATCGCGGCGGATTTCCAGCGCCGGGGAGTGGACACGGCGCACGTGGCCTGGCAGCCCCGCGGAGAGGTGCCCTGCGCCTGCTGCCTCGTCAACGCCGCCAGCGGCTCCCGCACCATCGTCCTGCACGACACGTAAGGGGCAGCCCGGCCCCGCCGCCCGCGGGCAGCGCTGGGCTCTGCCGGCTGTTCCAAGGGTCCCTCCCGTGCCTGCCGGGGGCTACCGAGTGCCGGCTGGGGCCAGTGGCCGTACTGCCGCAGACACTGTCACCGCCAGGGTCCCTGCAGCCCTGTCACCTCCGGGACTGGTGCTGGTGTCTCCACACGGCCACGCTCTGGAGCAGGACGGGCGGCTCGGCCCCGTGGGGATAACCGGGCTCCCTCGGCCGTGCCAGAGGGTCAGGGACTGTTCGGCATGGCTGACCGCCCGGCCCCAGCGTGGCCACCACTGCGCTGCCCTTCGAATCCAGCTCAGGGTCCCGGGTGCCATCATTAATGATTCACTCGGGCACTGCCTCCTCGGGACCTCTGTTCCCGTGGCGTGGGGCCCTCCATGGCCCCTGGAGCTGCCCTTCGCCCCGGGCCTGTGCCAGGCGGGGGGTCCCCATCTCCCACCTGGCCTCTGTCCCACAGGAACCTGCCTGACGTGACAGCCCGTGACTTCGAGAGGGTCGACCTTTCCCAGTACAGGTGGATCCACTTCGAGGTGAGCCCGAGGCTCAGCTCGGGGGGTTCCAGGGTCTGGGAGATCCCCGGCACTGGGGAAAATCCCTCGGTGATGCCTGGGAACAGAAGGAGTCCCTCGGTCTCGGGACATCCCCAATGAGGGAGCATCCCCGGGACCGAGGGGGCCTCCCGGGACTGGCAATCCCCCGGTGGTGCCAGAGCCGTGCCCGTGTCCGCAGGCCCGGAATGCGGTGGAGCAGGGCGCGATGCTGGAGCGGGTGGAGCGGCACAACCGGGCGACGG